GAGGCTGTTTGGGAAATGTCTGTGCTTATTTAGCAGATCCCTTCATCGCTGGGCACTCTCCCTCCCTTGGCTGCAGATGGGAGAGGAGATGGGGACCGGCAAGATGCATCCCTGCAAAAAAAATATCTGGGAGGATGAAAACACGATAAAGGCTCTTCCGCTGCCTCGCTGCAGCAAAGAGAGAGGGCTGCAACAGGGCTTTGGGATTTTGTTCCGTATGGCATTCCCTATAACCCTTGGTTTTCTGGAAGCGATGGGAATTGATGGTGTTTTCCCTGTCCCAAACGTCTTGAGGTTGGGACCTCAAGACGGGGGCAGTTTGCTTGATTCCCAGCCTGCAGGATGGCCTCACCTGCGCCAGTTGGGCTGGAAATGAGCTGATTTCTTTAACTCCTCTCCTGGGGGCATGCCGTCGAGCATAGGCTGGAACAAAAGCTGTGCCCCTCAGCAATGCTCCAAGGGGGTCGGAGCACTGCCCATCTCTGTTGTACCCTTTGCTGCTTGCACACAGCTTTAATAACTGGCTTATTTCCCACCCCACCGCCTTCGCAGTGCCCATCCCACCCAGCACCTTGCACCCTCTCCCCAGTCCCTGCAGCACCTGGGCTGGGGCTGCCCGTGGGACCCGGAGCAGAGTTTTGCAGGGCAGTGGGGTGCTGAGCAGTGCGATGCAGTGGGGTGCTGGTCAAAGCACGCTGAACAAGTTGGAAAAGACCTTTAAGATCATCGCGTCCAACCATAAACCTGACACTTCCAAGTTTACCACTGAACCGTGGGGGCTTCGTTCTGCTCCCTGTCCCTTGTCTTCCAGCTCAGGGGGCTGGGTACCCCGAGAACAACTGGTCTTACTGCTAAAAACTGAGGCAAAGAAGGCACTAACTACCTCAGCCTTTACCTCATCCTCTGTTGCTATGTTTCCCTCCGCATCCAATAAAGATTCTCCTTAGCCCTCCTTTTGTTGTTGATGTATTTATAGAAACATTTTTAATTGCCTTTAATGACAGTAGCCAGATTAATCTCTGGCTTAATCTAGTTGCATTTTGGTCCTACTCATTTTGTCCCTGCATAACCTACATCTTGTGGACCCCTTGAGTTGCCTGCCCAATCTTCTGGGGGGTTCACGGGGGTCTGTGGGGATGCACCGATAGCAGGGTATGGGTAAGGGGGTAGTGGAGGGGCCATTCCCAGCTGTGAGGGGGTCCAGGAGGAGGAGGGAGGTATCGTGCCCAGCCCCAGGTAGATTTAACACCCAGTCCCTGGTCCCACAAGCTTCTCACTCCACAGTGCCCATCTCGAGTTCAACATCAAACTCCAGAGCAATAGCAGCAGCCACAGCCATCAATATTGCTAAA